CTCTTCACTACAGCAGTGTTAGCAGCTCTTCACTACAGCAGTGTTAGCAGGTCTTCACTACAGCAGTGTTAGCAGGTCTTCACTACAGCAGTGTTAGCAGCTCTTCACTACAGCAGTGTTAGCAGCTCTTCACTACAGCAGTGTGTGACCAGTCGTGTTGCCACCAGCCCTGAAGGCCCGTCAACAGTTGCAAAAGGAGATGCAAGGCTTGATTCCGAGGCTGTGTGGCTGAGATTCTGAACCTGCTTCTGTGCCATGTTTTATAGACGTCTATAATTGACTTATGGATAATACCATAGCAACTCTTTAAGAACACAGTGACAATAAATACATACATTCTTTTCCCTTTTGAGCATAACGTTAGATATTAAATATTTTCTGATGTTATTTTGATTCAGTGTTTTCTTTATGGGGAAAGTTACATCTTATCAAATTGTTCTTTTACCTTTCACGCACAGAGCAGATTAAAATCATCAAGGAATAGACATTAAAGCTGCACTAACTGACTTTGGGATTTTGAAGCAGCGGACACACTGGCCTTTCTCTTTCTGCTCCCCTCCAAGCACCCACCATGCTGTCGCCCCCCACACACACCCACTGTTATTGAAGGAGCTAGCGTCTCCCAATATGGATAATACATGGACATGGATTTGCACGTGGATGGCGTGACCATAGAACGATAGAACCGGGAAGCACGGAGGAACGGGACTTTCTTTTGGATGGCTGTTTCGCTGAGTAAGCAGTAACCAGTGACGAAGACGAGGAAGTTTCAGGTTAGCTCCTCGGCTTGTTGTGCTAACTCAGCTGTCTGTGCTAACGAACCTGTAGATTTCTCACAAAAGTGGGGGCTAGTGGTCCGCTGCGACCCGAAACACATTCTCTTCCCTGTTTCATCAAAACTCGATCTAAAATATATTGTCACGCCAGCACAAATCTGCGCTACTTTTTCTTCAAAAGGACGTATATCCCTGTTATGAAGGCAGGGCTTAAATAGAGCGTTTTGTATATAGTTGCAGTACCTGGCCTGGCCACCAGGGGCGCGCCCGCTAGTGAGCAGTGAAAAGTTTTGGCCTGTTTTAGTGATGTTCTGTGTGCTCAAGAGATAATGACAGATTACAGTGCTGTGTGTAAAAGGCTTGTGTGCGTCCATTAGAGAGGTGGGTGATTGGCAATAGTGTTTAATATGTGTTATGGGTTTGGGAATGGGTTAGAATTGTAGTTTAAGTGTTTAGTGCAAGTTCATGGGGATTGAGGCTAGTTTAGCTCCTGGGCTAGGTGGCTAGGCTAGTCCTCTGAGTGTATGTTTAGTCATTACTTTATTATTTAAATACACTTGGTAGTGATTGGTTCCTCTGTTAGTTCCAGTTAGAGCAAGGAGCATCTGAGCTGTGTTCATTTGTGTGTAATTAAAGCTATGGTTAAGATACAGTAAAAGCTGAGGCATTACTATGCATATGGCCAGAGAGAGGCGCGTTCACACTGAGAGAAAATCTTAAGTAGTCATGTTATTAGCACTGGGTTATTATGTTATTAGGTTAGGAAGACATTAGTGTGATGTGTATAACTATGTTTAGTGTTATTATTAGATTATGCTAATTGTAGTGATGCACATTATTACTGTGTAATAACTAAGTAACTGTTATATTATTCTAATATTGTATTTCTATCTGTTTGTGTTACAGAACCACACACACACACACATACACAACGTTCTGCAACTCAGAATAAAGGGAATAACCATCAACAAGGCTGATCATTTGCATCCTGACCGATGTCCACTCCGAGACAACAATAAGACAATAACCAGCTAATTATAGTGAAAGCTTCACTACAATCCCAATGAACTACATGGACACGGATAGCATTTTTGTAATGAATACAAAAATAAAGTCAGTTAGTGCAGCTTTAAAGTGACTAAAGTGCTGTTCTTTTTTCTGTTGTGATTGTGTTAAATTCTGTGTTTTTGGAGTATTGTATATGAGAAACTATTTTGTGTTGGCGGTAGTTCCTCTGTCCATGGTGCTGATGAGTCATTTGCTGGAAAGATCCTTTGAAACAAGCTTTTTATTCAATGTGTGTGTCGGTGATACTAAAGTTCACCGTGTTTGTATTTATTGTGACAAGATGAGCATAATGAGCATCAAGGTCCTTTTGTGAAATAATAGTTTTGTTGCATGATTTGTAACTGTTTTATATTGAGTTGTTTGCTCTGACATTTAAGAATCAATATTGTGTAAAACCTTCAAAAAATGATTACACAGTCTCTCTCTCTCAAACAAATGATAAGTATTACAACATCCACACTTGTGTCAGCAGCTCCTCACTGAAATCACGTGACCAGTGGAGCGGTCTCCAATGTAGATAAAATACATTACACCAACATTTAATTATAGCCAGTGAATTATAATGAAGCAGCCTGGCTCAGTTTTCCTTCTGCAGTGTCGTGTTTCGGCCTCTTAGCGACGCTGTTGTCCTGTAAGTTGTTTTGAGCCTCTGTGGAGCTGCTTTATCTCCTCCCATCACTGCGTTTTGTCTGAGGCTGCGGAGTGAGTTCTGGTTTTTCTCTTCAATCATTAAAACACAGTCACCAAAAGAGGCTCATCTTAGAAGAGTTTGTTTATTTTCCAACCACATCTACTGGACTTGATTTTTTGGTCTTGTTCGTGAGCTTGTTGATGGAATTCTCCGTGCCATCAGGACAGGCGATGTCGTCGTGTTTCTTCTTGCTGTTATTTTGGATTCACGTCGATGCACAGATCCGCTACTCGATCCCAGAGGAGATGAGGAAAGGCTCTCTTATTGGTAACGTGGCGCAGGATTTGGGTTTGGACATAAAAAGGCTTCGTTCAGGCCGAGCTCGTATCGTGACTGGAGAAAATGTAGAGTACACGGAGCTGAAGGCAGACAAAGGGACTCTGGTCGTGAATGAGAGGATAGACAGAGAGCAGCTCTGTGGAGACGTGACGCCCTGCAGCTTCACGTTTGAGATTTTACTGGAAAACCCGATGGAGCTGCACCCCGTGACTATAGAAGTGCTGGATGTCAACGACAATGCGCCCACGTTTCAAAGCAAACATTTGGATTTTGAAATAAGCGAATCAGCCACAATTGGCTCAGCATTTGACTTGGAAGCAGCAGGCGATTCTGATGTCGGACAAAACACTTTACAGGATTATATTTTAACTAAAAATAACAATTTTGTTTTAAAGGAAAACGTAAATCCTGATGGCACTAAACACATGCAGATGGTTCTTCAGAATGCTTTAGACAGAGAGAAGCAGTCAAATCTAAATCTTAAACTCGTGGCTGTTGACGGTGGGAATCCGCAGAGATCTGGTACTGTAAATATTAATATAGTAGTCTTAGATGCGAACGATAACGCTCCAGTGTTTAAACAGAAGTTTTATAAAGGGACTGTTACTGAAAATTCTCAGACTGGAAGATTTATTGTTACAGTAAATGCCACAGATGCAGACATGGGATCAAACGGTAAAATAACGTACACTTTTTCAAAATCAAAGGCATCAGTAGATGATTTATTTGAAATTAACGAACAGACTGGAGATATTTTCTTAGCGAAAGAGCTGGATTATGAAAAAGACAAAAAGTTGGAGTTCCGAGTTGAGGCCAAAGACCAAGGAGGACTGACAGATACGTGCAAAGTAGAGATAGAAATCCTTGACGTAAATGATAATGCACCTGTTATTAATGTGATGTCCTTCACTAGTCCTGTGTCAGAGGACGCCCCAGTGGGAACCACTATCGGTATAATTAATGTCAAAGACTTGGATTCAGGTGAGAACGGACAGGTGAGGTGCGCAGTGGAGGGTAGCGCCCCTGTGGAAATTAAATCTAATGTTAGAAACTATTACGCACTGGTCACCAATGCGCCTTTAGACCGAGAGAGTTTAGCGGCTTTTAACGTCACGGTGATTGCCTCAGACTCAGGAAAGCCTCCACTCTCCGTGAATAAAACATTTACCTTAAAGATTTCAGATGTGAATGACAATGCTCCAGTTTTCACACGTGCACTCTACAGCGCGACAATAGCTGAGAATAACTCCCCTGGTTTTTCTGTGGTGAGTGTTGTAGCCAAAGACCCGGATGAAAACCAGAACGCGCGTGTGTCATATATTTTAGAGGAGTGTGACATCGGAGGCTCTCCTGTTTCTGGTTATATTTCTGTCAATTCAGAAAATGGAGTCATTAGTGCTGCGCGTTCATTTGATTATGAACAAACCAAAGAGTTTCTGTGCGTAATCAAAGCTCAGGACGGAGGCTCTCCTCCTCTCAGCAGCAACGTGACTGTGAAGATCCTGGTCCAGGACCAGAACGACAACGCCCCTCAGGTTCTCTACCCAGTCCAGACTGGGGGCTCTCTGGTGGCTGAGATGGTGCCTCGTTCAGCAGATGTGGGCTATCTGGTCACTAAAGTGGTGGCTGTGGATGTGGACTCTGGACAGAATGCCTGGCTCTCCTATAAACTGCAGAAAGCCGCAGACAGGGCGCTGTTTGAAGTGGGTTCACAGAATGGAGAAATAAGAACTATTCGCCAAGTGACTGATAAAGACGCAGTCAAACAGAGACTGGCTGTTATAGTGGAGGACAACGGGCAGCCCTCTCGTTCAGCTACAGTCATTGTTAACGTGGCGGTGGCGGACAGCTTTCCTGAAGTACTGTCTGAGTTCACGGACTTTACGCACGACAAGGAGTACAATGACAACCTGACTTTTTACTTAGTGCTGGCTCTGGCTGTAGTCTCCTTTCTGTTCATCACGTGTGTAGTGGTCATTATCTCAGTGAAAATCTACAGATGGAGACAGTCTCGCATCCTGTATCACTCCAATCTGCCAGTGATCCCATATTATCCTCCACGTTACTCAGACACTCTGGGCACAGGGACTCTCCCACACGTGTACAATTACGACACGTGCAGGACCACAGACTCCAGAAAGAGTGACTGTAAGTTTGGCAGAGCTGGGAGTCAGAACGTGCTGATAATGGATCCCAGTTCAACAGGAACCATGCAGCGGATACAGAGTGAGAAGAGCATCCTGGACGAGCCAGACTCTCCTCTCGAGGTTAGACATGTGTGATGTGTGTCTCTGTTTAAGGACCACGGAGAGCAGCACCGTGGTCTTGAAGACTCTGCAAACTGTCTCTCTGTTTAAATTATTATATATTCTCTTTTAAATGTTCATTTTTTTAGTTTGCATACTTGTGTTGTTTTTTCAGTTGTGATTACATTTTTTCATAATTGTTTGTTTCATTATTTTACTTAATTTACTCTTTAACTTTGAATATAAGGCAAACTATAAATAATACAGTCTGGAGGAATGGAAGTGCAATGAACTCTTATAAACTCTAAGGGCCGCTGTTGTCCATGTTCTGTTGAATTTACTGAGAGCTGTTTGTTCCTCAGATCACATTTATCTGAGGCTGACGCAGTACGCAGCTCGTATCCTCTCGAAACAAACGGTCATTTTATCTTCTGCGAATGTAGAATACTGTGGAATATACGATATAAGAATCGTTTTGCTGAAAAACTGGATATTATTCCAAAGTGACTCGTGTTTTTTGGAGATGGTGCTGGACAGAACAATGGGAGTGCACGTACTGGCGTTTTTGTCTTTCTGCTTTTGGAGCGCGACGTTCGGACACATCAGCTACTCTGTCCCGGAGGAACTACCGAAAGGTTATGTTGTGGGGGACATTGCAAAGGATTTGGGTGTGGATATAAAGAGGCTGAAAAATGGCAAAGGGCGCATTTTTACTCGAGAACGTGGCGACTTCGTGGAATTGAACAACGACAGGGGAGTGCTGCTGGTTAAAGACAGGATAGACCGAGAGGCGCTGTGCGGACACGCCACACAGTGTACATTACAATTTCAGATTATTTTAGAAAATCCTATGGAGATTCACAGCGTTACTGTTGACATCAGAGACGTGAACGATAATCCACCTTTATTTGATAAAGATAAAGTTAATTTTAAAATTAGTGAATCTGCTGTGAATGGAGCTAAATTTAGATTAAATTATGCTGTGGATTCTGATGTCGGTGTGAATGGATTGCAGACGTATAGACTCGAACCAAGAGACAATTTTTCAATTAAATTATATGATCAAGCAGATGGATCTAAAAATGTTGAAATGGTTTTAGAGAAGCCTCTCGACAGAGAGAAGAGTGAGCACTTGTCTTTAGTTTTGACTGCGTTAGATGGAGGAGAGCCACAGATGTCTGGAACAATGCAGATTCTAATCACTGTCTTAGACGCCAATGACAATGCTCCAGTTTTTACAAAACCAGTTTATAAAACGTCCATAAAGGAGAATGCGCCCCTCGGAACAGTAGTGATGACAGTGACTGCGACTGACGCAGACCAGGGATCTTATGGGAAAATTACATATTCTGTGTCAAGTTTACCAGATCAAGCTCGAGGATTATTTGAAATAAATCCAGAAAACGGACGGATTGTGCTGAAAGAAAATGTTGACTATGAAAAGGCACAACATTTTAAGTTGAGTGTCCAAGCAAGTGATGAGGGGGGGCTCGTAGACTCATGTGATGTAATTGTTGAAGTTACGGACGTTAATGACAATATACCAGATATACACTTATTATCAAAAGTAAACAATATACCAGAGAATGCACAACCAGGGACAGTTGTGACTATGATTAACATTATGGACGCAGATTCCAATGACAACGGGAAAGTCCAATGTTTTATTAATGATAATATTCCATTTGAACTGAAAATTACAAACAATGATTTCTACAGTTTAGTGACAGATGGTATTTTAGACCGAGAACAGTCTTCTCAGTACAACATCACAGTCACGTGTTCAGATGAGGGCGTGCCCTCTCTCTCCAGCAGCGTCACTCTCACCTTACACATCTCTGATGTGAATGACAACGCGCCTGTCTTTGACAGGAGCTCGTATGAGGCCTACATTGTAGAAAACAACAACCCGGGCCTCTCTATATTCACAGTGAAAGCCACAGACGCTGACTGGAACCAGAATGCACGTGTGTCTTACATACTGGAGGACTCCGATGTTAACGGAGTGCCAGTCTCCTCATATGTGTCCGTTAGTGCAGACAGCGGAGTCATTCATGCAGTGCGCTCCTTTGACTACGAGCAGATCAAGGATTTCCAGTTGTGCGTCAAAGCTCAGGACGGAGGCTCTCCTCCTCTCAGCAGCAACGTGACCGTGAAGATCCTGGTCCAGGACCAGAACGACAACGCTCCTCAGGTGCTGTACCCAGTCCAGACTGGGGGCTCTCTGGTGGCTGAGATGGTGCCTCGTTCAGCAGATGTGGGCTATCTGGTCACTAAAGTGGTGGCTGTGGATTTGGACTCTGGACAGAATGCCTGGCTCTCCTATAAACTGCAGAAAGCCGCAGACAGGGCGCTGTTTGAAGTGGGCTCACAGAATGGAGAAATAAGAACTATTCGCCAAGTGACTGATAAAGATGCAGTCAAACAGAGACTGGCTGTTATAGTGGAGGACAACGGGCAGCCCTCTCGTTCAGCTACAGTCATTGTTAACGTGGCGGTGGCGGACGGCTTTCCTGAAGTACTGTCTGAGTTCACGGACTTTACGCACGACAAGGAGTACAATGACAACCTGACTTTTTACTTAGTGCTGGCTCTGGCTGTAGTCTCCTTTCTGTTCATCACGTGTGTAGTGGTCATTATCTCAGTGAAAATCTACAGATGGAGACAGTCTCGCATCCTGTATCACTCCAATCTGCCAGTGATCCCATATTATCCACCACGTTACTCAGACACTCTGGGCACAGGGACTCTCCCACACGTGTACAATTACGACACGTGCAGGACCACAGACTCCAGAAAGAGTGACATTAAATACATGCAGCCGATGATTCAAAGTTTACTGGACGTTGATGGAACTGATGCTGAGGCCCAACAATTAGAGAAACAGCTCGCAGGCTCCAACATGTCAACTCTGGTGAGTCAAAAAATATGTACTTGTTTGTCTCTGGTGCTAAAATCTAAATAAATTTCTGGTCATGAAGAGCCAAATTTGTGCGTCCCCAAAACGTTTTACTTATTTTCGCTCCACAGTTTCAATAACTTTTAAAATATTATTTATAAACAAAACAAAAATTGATAGGAACTTTATACTTTATTCTTGTTCATAGAGTCTATGGTTTTACTGATACGCCCATGACTAAATCCATATCCATTATTCTTTTGGGTAAGGTGTTTTGTGGCTTACTTTCTCTGTTTTGACTATTTTTGTGATTCAGACATTTTATATTTTTGGAAATACATAATACAGTATGAATTGATATGATTTTTAATGTTGTTTTTGTCTCTGTCCAAGGTGCTGATACCTCGTTTACCCGAATTGTATTTCTTGTCCCGCTTTTATAATTGCTTTTTTTAATTGATTGTGGTCATCTTCATGTTGTTTAGACTCTTAATCAAGAGATGGATAACAGAGTGAATGTAATGAAAGTTTTAAGTATATTTATATTAATGTGATATCCTATAATGCGTTTCCTTATTCACTATACCAATATGGTTAAAACGACTTGTTTAGAATAGAGGCATTTAATTAGAACTGTTTTTCTTAGCACTGCAGTTCCACATTGTGGACTCACTGGGCCGCTGTCTACCAGCCTCACACTGATCTGTAGTCCAGTATTTTTACCAGCACATCCCCTTCTTCTCATCAGACCAGTCAACACCACGGACGCGTACGTGGTAGAGCTCATACAACATTTTGGATTTCCGTTGTTCCTCTTGGCTTTTGTATTCTGACGTCTTTTGTGAAGTGTGGATTATTCGCCTGCTGTTTTCGCTCTGGATCATATTTATTCATAACAATGGGAGGGCAAGTACTGCTGTGGTTGTCGCTTGCTTTTGTCGGATGTGCGCTGGGACAGATCAGTTATTCTATTCCAGAGGAAATGGCCAGGGGCTCGTTGGTCGGTAATATTGCTCATGATTTAGGTCTCGATGTGAAGCGGCTGCAGATGCGTAAAGCTCGAATTCACACCGGAGAAAGTGAGGAATACATTCAGTTTAACAAGGAGAGAGGCGTCCTCGTTATCAAAGAGAAAATAGACCGCGAGGCCCTTTGTGCGCAAATAACACCGTGTGCGCTGCATTTTCAGATTGTTTTAGAAAATCCAATAGAAGTATTTCCCATCACAGTTGAAGTTATAGATATTAACGATAGTCCTCCATTATTTGATGAAAATGAAATGCGTTTTGAAATTAGTGAATCCGCTGTAGTTGGCTCAAAATTTTTGCTTGAACCTGCGATAGATCCTGACATAGGACTGAATGGTCTGCAGAGCTACACACTGAAGCCCAGTGATAATTTCATCCTCAAACTGCATGACCAATCAGACGGTGACAGAAAGGTGGAGATGATTTTGCAAAAGCCTCTTGACAGAGAGAAAGAGGACATAGTTTCCTTACTGCTGACAGCGGTAGATGGAGGAGAGCCACAGCGGTCAGGGACTATGCTTATCCACATTACAGTGTTAGATGCTAATGATAATGCTCCTGTATTTACTCAATCCATTTACAAAGCGAGTATTAAAGAAAACGCTGTGAAGGGGACGCTCATAACGCAGGTCAGCGCGACTGACGCAGACAAAGGCAGCAACGGAGAGGTTACTTATGCCATTGGAAAGAGGAGAAAGAGTCATTCGAGTGTGTTCCAAATTACGCAAGAGGGAAGTATTTTATTAAATGGAATTATAGATTATGAAAAGGCAAAAGTGTATGAAATTGACGTAGAAGTAAGTGACAGAGGAGGACTTTCTGATTCGTGTAAAGTAATTATTGAAATACATGACATTAACGACAACAGCCCAGTTATTTCTGTCATTTCTAAATCTGAAATAATCGTAGAGAACTCTCTTTCCGAGACAGTCGTAGCTGTAATGAACGTAAACGATCCTGATTCAGAGGAAAATGGAAAAGTTAAATGTATGATTAATAAGAATATTCCATTTTCAATTTCCTCCTCTGCTAATAATTTATATAACATAATGACAGACAGTGAATTAGACCGAGAGAGAGACTCTCAGTACAACATCACAGTCACGTGTTCAGATGAGGGCGTGCCCTCTCTCTCCAGCAGCGTCACTCTCACCTTACACATCTCTGATGTGAATGACAACGCGCCTGTCTTTGACAGGAGCTCGTATGAGGCCTACATTGTAGAAAACAACAGCCCGGGCCTCTCTATATTCACAGTGAAAGCCACAGACGCTGACTGGAACCAGAATGCACGTGTGTCTTACATACTGGAGGACTCCTCTGTTAACGGAGTGCCAGTCTCCTCATATGTGTCCGTTAGTGCAGACAGCGGAGTCATCCATGCAGTGCGCTCCTTTGACTACGAGCAGATCAAGGATTTCCAGTTGTGCGTCAAAGCTCAGGACGGAGGCTCTCCTCCTCTCAGCAGCAACGTGACCGTGAAGATCCTGGTCCAGGACCAGAACGACAACGCCCCTCAGGTGCTGTACCCAGTCCAGACTGGGGGCTCTCTGGTGGCTGAGATGGTGCCTCGTTCAGCAGATGTGGGCTATCTGGTCACTAAAGTGGTGGCTGTGGATGTGGACTCTGGACAGAATGCCTGGCTCTCCTATAAACTGCAGAAAGCCGCAGACAGGGCGCTGTTTGAAGTGGGCTCACAGAATGGAGAAATAAGAACTATTCGCCAAGTGACTGATAAAGATGCAGTCAAACAGAGACTGGCTGTTATAGTGGAGGACAACGGGCAGCCCTCTCGTTCAGCTACAGTCATTGTTAACTTGGCGGTGGCGGACAGCTTTCCTGAAGTACTGTCTGAGTTCACGGACTTTACGCACGACAAGGAGTACAATGACAACCTGACTTTTTACTTAGTGCTGGCTCTGGCTGTAGTCTCCTTTCTGTTCATCACGTGTGTAGTGGTCATTATCTCAGTGAAAATCTACAGATGGAGACAGTCTCGCATCCTGTATCACTCCAATCTGCCAGTGATCCCATATTATCCTCCACGTTACTCAGACACTCTGGGCACAGGGACTCTCCCACACGTGTACAATTACGACACGTGCAGGACCACAGACTCCAGAAAGAGTGACTGTAAGTTTGGCAGAGCTGGGAGTCAGAACGTGCTGATAATGGATCCCAGTTCAACAGGAACCATGCAGCGGATACAGAGTGAGAAGAGCATCCTGGACGAGCCAGACTCTCCTCTCGAGGTTAGACATGTGTGGTCTGTGTCCTTGTATCAGGACCACGGAGAGCAACACCGTGGTCCTGATGACTCTGCTAACTGTCTCTCTGTTTTAATTATAATGTATTCTCTTTTAAATGTTCATTTGTATTGGCCCACATATTTACATTGTTTGGTTTTTATTTATAATTATTCATGTTTAATAGTGTTGTTTATTCATTATATTAATTATTTACCCATTTGGTTTTAATATAATGCAAACTATTAAAGTAGTCTGGAGCAATTGAATTGCAGTAATCTCTTATAAACTCTAAGGGCCGCTGTTGTCCATGTTCTGTTGAATTTACTGAGAGCTGTTTGTTCCTCCCATCACATCTTTATCTGAGGCTGACGCAGTACGCAGCTCTCGAAACAAACGGTCATTTTATCTTCTGCGAATGTAAAATACTCTGGAATATACGGTGTATGAATTGTTTTTCCGACGAACTGGACATTTTTGTAAAGTGACTCGTCTTTTTGGAGATGGTGCTGGACAGAACAATGGGAGTGCACGTACTGGCGTTTTTGTCTTTCTGCTTTTGGAGCTCGACGCTCGGACACATCAGCTACTCTGTCAGGGAGGAACTACCGAAAGGTTATGTTGTGGGGGACATTGCAAAGGATTTGAGTGTGGATATAAAGAGGCTGAAATCAAGAAAGACGCGTATTTTTACCCACGAAACCGGTGAATATCTGGATCTGAACAACGACAGGGGAGTGCTGCTGGTTAAAGACAGGATAGACCGAGAGGCGCTGTGCGGACAAGCTGCAACGTGTGCGTTAGAATTTCAGATTATTTTAGAAAATCCTATGGAGATTCACAGCGTTACTGTTGAAATAAGAGACGTGAACGATAACCCACCTTTATTTGAAAAGGATAAAGTACATTTTAAAATCAGTGAATCTGCTGTGAATGGAGCAAAATTTATTTTGAACCGAGCTGTGGATTCTGATGTTGGTGTAAACGGATTGCAGACGTACAGACTCGAACCTAGAGACAATTTTTCAATTAAATTATATGATCAAGCAGATGGATCCAAAAATGTTGAAATGATTTTAGAGAAGCCTCTCGACAGAGAGAAGAGTGAGCACTTGTCTTTAGTTTTGACTGCGTTAGACGGAGGAGAGCCACAGATGTCTGGAACAATGCAGATTCTAATCACTGTCTTAGACGCCAATGACAATGCTCCAGTTTTTACAAAACCAGTTTATAAAACGTCCATAAAGGAGAATGCGCCCCTCGGAACAGTAGTGATGACAGTGACTGCGACTGACGCGGATCAGGGATCTTATGGGAAAATTACATATTCTGTGTCAAATTTACCAGATCAAGCTCGAGGATTATTTGAGATATATTCAGAAAATGGGGAAATAGTTCTGAAAGAGAAAGTGGACTATGAAAAAGCCAGCGTATTTCAGTTAAGTATCAAAGCAAGTGATGATGGAGGCCTTGTTGATTCATGTGAAGTAATTGTCGAAATTACAGACGTAAATGACAATGCGCCAATTATTAACGTTATATCTAAAATTAATAGTGTCGCTGAAGATGAAAAGCCAGGGACAGTTGTGACAATGATCAACATTCGTGATATCGATTCTGCAGAAAGCGGGAAAGTGCAGTGTTTAATAAATGAAAATATTCCTTTTGATCTTAAAATTACGAACAACAATTTCTACAGTTTGGTGACAGATGGTAATTTAGACCGAGAGAGAGACTCTCAGTACAACATCACAGTCACGTGTTCAGATGAGGGCGTGCCCTCTCTCTCCAGCAGCGTCACTCTCACCTTACACATCTCTGATGTGAATGACAACGCGCCTGTCTTTGACAGGAGCTCGTATGAGGCCTACATTGTAGAAAACAACAGCCCGGGCCTCTCTATATTCACAGTGAAAGCCACAGACGCTGACTGGAACCAGAATGCACGTGTGTCTTACATACTGGAGGACTCCTCTGTTAACGGAGTGCCAGTCTCCTCATATGTGTCCGTTAGTGCAGACAGCGGAGTCATCCATGCAGTGCGCTCCTTTGACTACGAGCAGATCAAGGATTTCCAGTTGTGCGTCAAAGCTCAGGACGGAGGCTCTCCTCCTCTCAGCAACAACGTGACTGTGAAGATCCTGGTCCAGGACCAGAACGACAACGCCCCTCAGGTGCTGTACCCAGTCCAGACTGGGGGCTCTCTGGTGGCTGAGATGGTGCCTCGTTCAGCAGATGTGGGCTATCTGGTCACTAAAGTGGTGGCTGTGGATGTGGACTCTGGACAGAATGCCTGGCTCTCCTATAAACTGCAGAAAGCCGCAGACAGGGCGCTGTTTGAAGTGGGCTCACAGAATGGAGAAATAAGAACTATTCGCCAAGTGACTGATAAAGATGCAGTCAAACAGAGACTGGCTGTTATAGTGGAGGACAACGGGCAGCCCTCTCGTTCAGCTACAGTCATTGTTAACGTGGCGGTGGCGGACAGCTTTCCTGAAGTACTGTCTGAGTTCACGGACTTTACGCACGACAAGGAGTACAATGACAACCTGACTTTTTACTTAGTGCTGGCTCTGGCTGTAGTCTCCTTTCTGTTCATCACGTGTGTAGTGGTCATTATCTCAGTGAAAATCTACAGATGGAGACAGTCTCGCATCCTGTATCACTCCAATCTGCCAGTGATCCCATATTATCCTCCACGTTACTCAGACACTCTGGGCACAGGGACTCTCCCACACGTGTACAATTACGACACGTGCAGGACCACAGACTCCAGAAAGAGTGACATTAAATACATGCAGCCGATGAGCCAAAGTTTACTGGACGTTGGTGGAACTGATGCTGAGGCCCAACAATTAGAGAAACAGATCGCAGGCTCCCCCATGTCAACTCTGGTGAGTCAAAAAATATTACATTTTTGTTCTCTGGTGCTGAAATGTAATTATAATTACATGTATGATAATACATTGGTTTTATATAGCGCTTTTTCAAAACTCAAAGACAATTCACAATTCAGGACACACACACACACACATTTAGATGGACAGACAAAACTAAATATTTAAAAGCAGGAAAGAAGAGTACAAAGCTGAAACTAAGACAGTAAGAGTCATATGCTTGGAGGAAGAGGTGAGTTTTTAACTGTTTTTTTAAAGAAGGTTAGTGAGTCCGAGTTTCTGAGATGAGGGGGGAGATAGTTCCAGAGAGTGGGAGCAGAAATGGTGAAAGCTCGGCCCCCCAAAGTTCTGTGCTTGGATTTGACAGTGGGATTGAGGAGATGAGAGTCTGCAGATTGGAGTCGACGGGAGGGACTCTAGGGCTGTAGAAGTTTAGTGAGGTATGGAGGAGCGAGGTTATGGAGGGATTTGTAGGTGATGAGGAGAATTTTGAAATGGATGCAGTGTTTGATGAGGAGCCAGTGGAGTTTTTGAAGGACAGGGGTGATGTGTTCTCTGGATTGGGTCTGAGTTATGAGGCGTGCGGCAGAGTTTTGGACATATTGCAGCTATAGGATATCAGATGAAGGAAGGCCGTATAAAAGACTGTTGCAGAAGTCGAGTCGGGAGCACATGAAAGCGTGGATCAGGGTTTCAGCAGCGGTGGAGGACAGATATGAGCGAAGACGGGCAATGTTTTTAAGATGAAAGAAGGCAGTTTTGGTGATGTTGCGGATGTGGGGCTTGAAATAAAGGGTGGGGTCAAAGATGATTCCGAGGTTTCTGATTAGACGGTCAGATGGTGTGGCTGTCAATGGAGTGTTTGAAATTCGGGGTGTTGGAAAGCAGGGACTTGGGGCCGATAACTATTATTTCTGATTTTTTGCTGTTGAGTTTGAGGAAATTGGTGGACATCCAAGATTATATTGCGGATATGCAGTTTGTTATGGAGGAGATGGTGGCATGGGTTATGGATTTAGCTTAGAGTTAAAGCTGAGTGTCGTCTCTGTAGTTGTGGAATTTGAAACCGTGGTGGTGAATGATTTTAAATACAATTTAGTTCATAAAGAGTTAATTTCTTTGGTCTTAGAAACATTTTACCCATTTAATCCTCACAGTTTTTAAACATGATTTTTTATATTTATTCATCAGCACAACCTTAAAAAACTTGAAATATTTAATATTTGTTTTCTATCTCATGGTTTTTAAATGGTAAATGCTACTTTTGAGATTTAACATATATATACTACAAAATAAATCTTTGCTCACTATTCTATGTGTAATCGTACCTAGTTACCCCATGCAGGTTCAGGTTTGCAAATGGCAATGAAAATAAGGCAGAGGCAAGGATAAAGTAAAAAAAAAAATTATAATACAAAAGTTAACAGTCCTTGTTTGGCCTTTCTTTCTTGATGTGAATCTTAATGAACACCTTTTATACACTATACCTTTCTTTTTGTCAAAGAATAGAGTATATGATGTTGCAGATCCAATTTCTATTATTGTTTAGGGTGAGAATTTTTCTCTTGTGACTACGGTTTTGATTCAGTCATTTATGCTTTTGGGTTTCATCATTTGTGGTAACACGTTTTGACTGTTTTTTAAATCTCTGTCCACGGTGCTGATATTACATATGGCCGAAGTGGAGGTAGATTTCAAGTGATTGTGTTCACCTTCATGAAATTTAAATTCATGGGTTGGCACGTGTACTATGGAAAACATACTGTAGTACACGTATTAACAGTCTAAGATGTATATTTATCTATAATTTATCTATAATTGACATTTCGGGTATTGCGTTTCGTTCTTAACAGTACTAATTATTCCAATATTGGTTGAACTGACAAGAATTGAGTCACATGATTTGAGCTGATTTTCTCAGCACTTGCAGTTCCACATTGTGGACTCACTGGGCCGCTGTCTACCAGCCTCACACTGATCTGTAGTCCAGTATTTTTACCAGCACATCCCCTTCTACTCGTCAGACCAGTCAACACCACAGACGCATACGTGGTAGAGCACATATCAAATTTTGGATTTACCTTCTTTCCTTGGCTTTTTGATTCTGACGTTTTGTGAAGTGTGGATTATTCACCTGCTGTTTTCGCTCTGGATAATATTTATTCAGAACAATGGGAGGGCAAGTACTGCTGTGGTTGTCGCTTGCTTTTGTCGGATGTGCGCTGGGACAGATCAGTTATTCTATTCCAGAGGAAATGGCCAGGGGCTCGTTGGTCGGTAATATTGCTCATGATTTAGGTCTCGATGTGAAGCGGCTGCAGATGCGTAAAGCTCGAATTCACACCGGAGAAAGTGAGGAATACATTCAGTTTAACAAGGAGAGAGGCGTCCTCGTTATCAAAGAGAAAATAGACCGCGAGGCCCTTTGTGCGCAAATAACACCGTGTGCGCTGCATTATGAAGTCGTTTTAGAAAATCCCATAGAAGTATATCCCATCACAGTTGAAATTACAGATATTAACGACAATCCTCCGTTGTTTGAGAAACAAGAAAGACGTTTTGAAATCAGTGAATCCGCTGTAGTTGGATCTAAATTTATGCTGGAAAAAGCGATAGATCCTGACATAGGACTAAATGGTCTGCAGAGCTACACACTGAAGCCCAGTGATAATTTCATCCTCAAACTGCATGACCAATCAGACGGTGGTAAAAAGGTGGAGATGATTTTGCAAAAGCCTCTTGACAGAGAGAAAGAGGAGATAGTTTCCTTACTGCTGACAGCGGTAGATGGAGGAGAGCCACAGCGGTCAGGGACTATGCTTATCCACATTACAGTGTTAGATGTTAATGATAATGCTCCTGTATTTACTCAATCCATTTACAAAGCGAGTATTAAAGAAAACGCTGTGAAGGGGACGCTCATAACGCAGGTCAGCGCGACTGACGCAGACAAAGGCAGTAACGGAGAGGTTACTTATGCCATTGGAAACAGTAGAAGTGGCTTCTCAAACTTATTCCAAATAACACATGAAGGAAACATTTTAATCAATGGACCAATTGACTATGAAAGGGTCAAAAAATATGAAATAGACGTAGAAGCAACTGACCGAGGAGGACTTTCTGATTCTTGTAAAGTTATAATTGAATTAAACGATATAAATGACAATAGTCCTTTTATTAGAATGATTTCTAAAACAGATTCAATTGGAGAGGATTCTCCCTCTGAGACAGTAGTAGCTGTAATGAACGTAAATGATCCTGATTCAGAGGAAAATGGAAAAGTGAAATGTATGATTAATAAGAATATTCCCTTTTCAACTTCCTCCTCTGCTAATAATTTATATAACATAATGACAGACAGTGAATTAGACCGAGAGAGAGACTCTCAGTACAACATCACAGTCACGTGTTCAGATGAGGGCGTGCCCTCTCTCTCCAGCAGCGTCACTCTCACCTTACACATCTCTGATGTGAATGACAACGCGCCTGTCTTTGACAGGAGCTCGTATGAGGCCTACATTGTAGAAAACAACAGCCCGGGCCTCTCTATATTCACAGTGAAAGCCACAGACGCTGACTGGAACCAGAATGCACGTGTGTCTTACATACTGGAGGACTCCTCTGTTAACGGAGTGCCAGTCTCCTCATATGTGTCCGTTAGTGCAGACAGCGGAGTCATCCATGCAGTGCGCTCCTTTGACTACGAGCAGATCAAGGATTTCCAGTTGTGCGTCAAAGCTCAGGACGGAGGCTCTCCTCCTCTCAGCAGCAACGTGACTGTGAAGATCCTGGTCCAGGACCAGAACGACAACGCCCCTCAGGTGCTGTACCCAGTCCAGACTGGGGGCTCTCTGGTGGCTGAGATGGTGCCTCGTTCAGCAGATGTGGGCTATCTGGTCACTAAAGTGGTGGCTGTGGATGTGGACTCTGGACAGAATGCCTGGCTCTCCTATAAACTGCAGAAAGCCGCAGACAGGGCGCTGTTTGAAGTGGGCTCACAGAATGGAGAAATAAGAACTATTCGCCAAGTGACTGATAAAGATGCAGTCAAACAGAGACTGGCTGTTATAGTGGAGGACAACGGGCAGCCCTCTCGTTCAGCTACAGTCATTGTTAACGTGGCGGTGGCGGACAGCTTTCCTGAAGTACTGTCTGAGTTCACGGACTTTACGCACGACAAGGAGTACAATGACAACCTGACTTTTTACTTAGTGCTGGCTCTGGCTGTAGTCTCCTTTCTGTTCATCACGTGTGTAGTGGTCATTATCTCAGTGAAAATCTACAGATGGAGACAGTCTCGCATCCTGTATCACTCCAATCTGCCAGTGATCCCATATTATCCTCCACGTTACTCAGACACTCTGGGCACAGGGACTCTCCCACACGTGTACAATTACGACACGTGCAGGACCACAGACTCCAGAAAGAGTGACATTAAATACATGCAGCCGATGACTCAAAGTTTACTGGACGTTGGAGCAACTGATGCTGAGGCCCAACATTTAGAGAAACAGCTCGCAGGCTCCAACATGTCAACTCTGGTGAGTCGTTTTTTATGTATTCATCAATTTTTTTCTCTACATGAGTTAAACTCTGTCCGTGGTTCTAAAATTATGCTAATTTGGAGTTGTGTTGTTCCTGAATAATAAAACAACTACACTTTTGTCCCAAACGTGTTTCCCCTCATGGTCAACGATGCAATACATACAAATATCAACAGATAATAATCATGAATACTTTGATATATTAATACAAATATATGGAAAACAATAACATTTCTGTATATCTAATGCTATATTTATTTGTTATATAATTATTATGTCGGGACAAATTAACAAAGAAATATAAATGGGACTATACTTTTAGGCCTCTTATAAAAGACACAATGAGTCTGGGAGAAATACGTTTCCCTGTTTGGACAGTGAGCGCCGCTGTTGACTGTGAGCTGCTGCTCTGTGTCTTGGTCCTCCCCTTATTCCGTATGCTACATTCACTGTTACAGAGGACGGTCGTTTCTACTGCGCAGATTCTTTGTGGCTTTTACACAGTTGGCTGTGATTCTTTATTTATATTGTAAACGGATAACAACATTTTTTTGTCTGGATTGATTGAATATGTGGTGGTTGCTGGATGTCGCTCACAGAGGCCCGTGGCTCGGCCTGGCTCTTTGTCTCTTTACGCTGAAGTCCGTGTCTGCACAGGCTCGTTACTCGGTTCCAGAGGAGCAGGCGGTGGGGTCTTTTGTTGGAAATATTGCTGGAGATTTGGGAGTAGATGTAAAGAGACTGGTCTCGGGAAACGCACGCATTGTGACGAAAGGAACTCGACAATATGTGGATTTAAATCGTGACAAAGGCATCCTTGTTGTAAAAGAGCGCATCGACAGAGAGGAGCTGTGTAAGAAAACAACGCCCTGCAGTTTTAGTTTTGAGGTCATTCTGGAAAATCCAATTCAACTGTATCGTGTCACTGTGGAGGTAACAGACGTGAACGACAATACTCCAGCTTTTCCCAAAGAAGAGATCGTTTTACAAATAGTTGAAACTGCTGCTCCGGGGACTCGTTATGCCTTGGGGCGTGCGGATGATGCTGATGTGGGCATTAATGATGTTTTTAAATACACGCTAAAACCTTTGGATCATTTTAAATTAGAAACACAGAGCCAGTCTGACGGGAGTCAGTTTGTGGAGCTGGTTCTGGAAACCCCGTTAGACCGAGAGAAGAATGAGGAGCACACTCTGATGCTGGTTGCTTCAGATGGAGGCGCACCTCAGAGATCTGGAACAGCACGGATTCACATCACTGTACTCGACGCAAACGACAATGCACCAGTCTGTAGTAAACAGGTGTATAAAGCAGAGGTCCAGGAGAACTCTGCGATAGGAACCGTGGTCACCACAGTCAGTGCGAGTGACGCAGACAAAGGTGTTAACGGAGACGTTACGTATTCATTTTCCCGCATCTCTAAAGAAGCAAAAGAGCTGTTTGACGTAAATATTAAAACAGGAGAAATTAAAGTTGGGGGAAAGCTAGACTATGAATCATCCAAATCGTATCAGTTAAACGTCATGGCTCGTGACCACGGGGGTTATTCAGATACGTGCAAAGTCTTTATCCAAATAACTGACGTGAACGACAACACTCCTGTTATTCAGCTCATGTCTTTTTCCAGCTCGATCTCTGAAGATGCTCCTCCGGGCACAACTATAGCTGTCATTAATGTTCATGACGACGACTCTGAAAGAAACGGTGTAGTGGAATGTTCTATTGCTCCTGATTTACCTTTTAAAATAGAGTCTTCATTGTCTGGTTATTATACAATAGTGACTGATGATGGATTAGACAGAGAGAGCGTGTCAGAATATAACATCACTCTAACAGTGACTGACCGAGGCTCCCCTCCGCTTTCAAACAGAAAAACACTTCAGGTCAAGGTTTCTGACGTCAATGATAACTGTCCAATGTTTGACGAGTCAGAATATAGTAGGACAATACCAGAGAATAACTCACCTGGATTTTCTATATTTACTGTCCGCGCCACTGATGCAGACTGGGGTCAAAACGCGAGGATCTCGTATTTCCTGGAAGAAATAGAAATAAATGGAGCGCCTCTATCTGCTTTAGTGTCTGTAAATTCAGAAAGTGGTGTGATTTCTGCCTCAAAATCATTTGATTATGAGCAAATAAAGAAGTTTGAATTCAATACAACTGCTCGTGACGCAGGCTCCCCTCCACTGAGCTCAGTGGTCTCTGTTCAGATCCTGGTCCAGGACCAGAACGACAACGCCCCTCAGGTGCTGTACCCAGTCCAGACTGGGGGCTCTCTGGTGGCTGAGATGGTGCCTCGTTCAGCAGATGTGGGCTATCTGGTCACTAAAGTGGTGGCTGTGGATGTGGACTCTGGACAGAATGCCTGGCTCTCCTATAAACTGCAGAAAGCCGCAGACAGGGCGCTGTTTGAAGTGGGCTCACAGAATG